ACGTCTGAAAAGCTCAAGAAAAATGCTTCCCTATGTATGTGAATGTATATTTATGTATGTTTTCACACTGAGGCATTGCACTTGCAGTGTGGTGTAAAAACTGCTTGCAGCATCTTTGGGGCATTTTTTGATGCTTAAAGTACACTATATTGCCAAACGTATTGGTCCAGTCCTCCAAATCATTGGATTCAGGTGTTCCAATCCCCTCCATGGCCACAGGTGTATAAAATCAAGCCCCTAGACATGCAGACTGCTTCTACAAACATTTGTGAAACAAAGGGTCGCTCTCAGGAGCTCAGTGACTCCAAGCGTGGTACCATGATAGGTTGCCACCTGTGCAATAAGTCCATCCGTGACATTTCCTGGCTACTAAATATTCCACGCTCAACTGTTAGTGGGATTATAACAAAGTGGAAGCAACTGGGAACAACAGCAACTCAGCCACCAAGTGGTAGGCCACGTCACGTGACAGAGCGGGGTCAGCGCATGCTGAAGCTCACAATGCACAGAAGTCACCAACTGTCTGCAGAGTCAATAGCTAAAGACCTCCGAACTTCATGTGGCCTTCAGATTAGCACAACAACCGTGCATAGAGAGCTTCATGGAATGGGTTTCCATGGCCGAGCAGCTGCATCCAAGCCTTACATCACCAAGTGCAATACAAAACATCAGATGCAGTGGTGTAAAGCACACCACCATTGGACTCTAGAGCAGTGGAGACGTGTTCTCTGGAGTGACCAATCACGCTTCTCTGTCTGGCATTCCGATGGATGTGTCTGGGTTTGGCAGCTGCTAGGAGAACCGTACTTGCCTGACTGCATTGTGCCAAGTGTAAAGTTTGGTGGAGGAGGGATTATGGTGTGGGATTGTTTTTCAGGGGTTGGGCTTAGCCCCCTAGTTCCAGTTAAGGGAACTCTTAAAGCGTCAGCATACCAAGATATTTTGGACAATTTCATGCTTCCCTTTGTGGGAAGAGTTTGGGGATGGCCCCTTCCTGTTCCAACATGACTGCGCACCAGTACACAAAGCGAGGTCCATAAAGACATGGAGGAGCCAGTTTGGGGTAGAGGAACTTGACTGGCCTGCACAGAGTCCTGACCTCAACCCCATAGAACACCTTTGGGATGAATTAGAGCATTAGATGAATTAGAGAGAGTAGAGAGCCAGGCCTTCTCGTCCGACATCAGTGCCTGACCTCTCAAATGCACTTCTGGAAGAATGGTCCAACCTTCCCATAGACACCCTCCTAAACCTTGTGGACGGCCTTCCCAGAAGAGTTGAAGCTGTTATAGCAACAAGGGGCAGGCCAACTCAATATTGAACCCTACGGACTAAGACTGGGATTCCATTGAAGTTCATGTGGTGGAAAGGCAGGCCGACCAATACTTTTGACAATATAGTGTATTTGTGAACACAATGCTACACAAGCCAATTTATTTTAAAAAGGCATTTTAAAAGTAACCTCTATTACTTTTGTAACACAGTTTTTATTTACTTTTATTTTTATGTTTTTTTCCATGCTCCTGGGATCGTATGCCCCCCCCCCCCCCATTGTCCTCCTTCCTCTTAGTAAGCAGACTGACCTCACACTCAGTGAGTGGGGAAGTACTTTCCCCATCTATGTATTGGGTATGGGCAGCTTCTGACTGACAGTGAGACACCTGTTGGGGGTACTGTCAAGTCAACTGAGATACAGGTGCACTGTGTGTCAGCACAGGGTCCTGTATCTCCAAAAATCTACCTGTATCTCTATTTCCACTCTCTCCCTATACATCATATTGTCTATTGCAAAAGGACATGTATGCTTTTAGATGAAGTTCTCATAATTTCCTGAGCTTGTGGTATGACTAAACTGTCCATGCATGGTTACCTTTAATACTTACTCCCAGAGCCTTTGGTTTACCCTTCAGAAATGTTTGGAAAAATGGTAAAGATGGGTCCGTATTTTGGGGTATGATAGTGGCGAGATGCCATTGTGGTACCACAGTGGGGACACTACTTGTCTGGGTTGTAGGAGGGATGTAGTATATGGGGGGCGGAGGACCGACGCTCTGCAAAAAAGCTGCTGCAGGCATATTCAACACTGGGACTGCGTATGGGACTGTGGATGGGACTGCAGATGGGAATGAAGGAGTGTTGATCCTTATAGCCTCATAGGTATGAGGTACACCTTCACCCACAGGATCTGACATGATGAAATCTGAAATAGAAAAAGGATGTTTGGAAAGTTAAAACCAGGATTTTGTTTGTCTTCCCAAATGTATCACCACAACAGTGCGGTAGTATTTTACTAAGCCTCTGTATTAGGAGAAGGATCTTAATATAAAAATACATGTTTTGCTTTGGATACAGTAAAGAATGGTCGGAACCTCTGTAAGTTAAATCTCAAACAATGTTTTCAGCTTTCCAAGCTATCTTTTTAAATGGCACATCTTATATAATGAGATGAGAGGGACAGGTGGTTGTAATCCAAACAAGGAGCATAGGCTAGGGTGACCACACTGCTTTTCCATAGACACAGTTTGGCTAGTGAATATTGACATCCTGGGAGTGGTGTATTTTGTTTTTGCACTGCCCTAGGCAACACAAAAATCAGCTGCCCCCTGAAAAATGTTGCCCTAGGCAAACATGCCCCTGGTGATTCGTATGGTATCCTGACCCGAGACCTGATGACCTATCCATGGCCTGGTGACGCAGCATTAAATATTGTGCATTTTAAACGCACATCATGCGTTTTTCATCCATTCGTTTGGTTTGCACCTGTTGTCACTCCCGGTCACACACACCTGGAATTGTGATCTCTTCATGATACACACAATCATATTGAACTAATTATATCACTAATAATCACCTTAACGGTAATACCACGTATCCACATATGTTTGAAATAGCATGATATCGTGTATATTAAAGTGTATTACTATTTAGCGCTGCACCAACTTACTTGAATAAATATGCCCCTGCACCCCAGGACAGGTTACTGGTAGGATCACAAGTTTAAAAAAAAAGATTTTAAATAGTAAACTAATGTATCCACCACATCTAAGGACCTGCTGCCCTATACTGCTTGTAAATGGCCTTGTTGCTTGATGTTCACAGAGATTACATATGTACATCACTTCCTGTCTCTGGAGGCTGACTTTAGAAGCCCCAGAAGGAAGAGGTGGAAAGATAGACAGAGAACTGAGTCACATGGGGCTTCTGCTGTATTTTCACCCAAACCAGATGCAGAGTCTATTAGGCAAGTATCCTTGTGTTCTAATAGTTTAGCCACAGCTGACCATAGCTTCTTCACTGTATATCTAAATCTTTATGACAGATTTATCTCTGTCCTGTTGTTATTAGTAGAGTAGTAGGCTGACTCTGAGTTCCAATGCCACACCACAGCTCCTGCCAGTGAGAATCTCCATTCCTTGCAAGTTGGACAACAGGATCTCCGCATAATTGCAGATATTGTCTTCATGTCTTCACCAAGATAAGCTCTACAACTTGGTCATCTTCAGGGGCCCCTGTAACTGATCCTTCCTGCAACATTCACCTGGAGGTATCTTTATTAATAACTATATATACCCCAGTATATGTGCACAATGCACAAGGACTCTTGTTGGACCCTTTGTTTGATAACACCGGTTTGTACATTGCGTGTATGTACTATTATTAACCACTTGCCCTCCAGAAGATTTACCCCCCCCCCCCCTTCCTGACCAGACTATTTTTTGCGATACGGCGCAATGAAATGTATGTCCTTTTTTCCCACAAATAGAGCTTTCTTTTGGTGGTATTTGATCACCTCTGCGGTTTTTACTTTTTGCACTATAAACAAAAAAAAAATTTACAATTTTAAAAATATATATATAATTTATTTTCTGCTATAAATAACATATGGCAAAAAAAATGTTAAAAATCAAGTTTCTTCATATATTTAGGCCAAAATCTATTCTGCTACATATTGTTGGTAAAAAAAAATCCCAATAATTGTACATTGATTAGTTTGCGAAAAATTTATAGCATCTACAAACTATGGTACACATACAGGAATCTTTTTTTTTTTTTTCTTTTTATGCTAGTAATGGCGGTGATCAGCGACTTGTCAGTTGTCAGTTAGACATGTCCCGCTACACTTTGTGGGAACCAGTGTCACTAATACAGTGATCAGTGCTAAAAATATGCACTGATACTGTACTAATGACACTGATTGGGAAGGGGTTAACATCTAGTGTGATCAAAGGGTTAGGTGTGTGCCTAGTTATGCGCTTGGTGTACACTAGGTGGAGTTTTTACTAGGGGAAGTGATGGATCGTGTTCTCAGCTCTGTGGAGAGAGACGATTCATGGCTCCCTCCTGTCACAACAAAGCTATGGCTATGTAAACATAGCCACAGCCCTGTTCTTCTTCCCTGACCGACTGCTCTCAGGGACTTGTAGATCAATTTGTGATGTGACAGAAGATTTCCACGGCGGTGCGCACATGCCCCCATGTGGCGGAAGTGCAAAATCACATATATTTATGTGATTTTGCACAGGAATGCTGCCCTGTAGCAGTAAAACTGCTATAGGGTGGATGAAAGTGGTTAATCTTTTCTTATAAAAGCCTGTACTATTTCCACACTGGTGTGCATCTATATACTTCTGATTAATGTTATATGCTGGTTGCACTAGTTTTTCTGCCTCCACTTTAAATTATATTACTAGTTATTTCCTGGGATGGGAATCCCCTTTGTTCAGGCCCTGTCCTGGGTAGCGGCACTGCCAACTTTATTATCAACCTCTCTTCCACTTAACGAAGGTACAGGTGTAGCACAATATCCTGTTTGGGGAGGGACATTTTTCATAACCTCTACAATTTATACATCATTAAATGTATTTTTAACCGCCTCCCGCCTGCCATATAAGGTAATGACAGGTGAAAGGCGGTTCTCTCGTTCTGGGAGGACGTCATTTGAAGACCTCCCATTCTAACCGTGCATGCGCAACTCTGGTAGCGCACAGCGTGGTGATCGGTGGTGCGCTGTGTCCCTCGGACACGGCGGATCACCGATCAAAGGAAAGAGCCGAAGATGTTGGCTCGGTCATGTGATCAGCTATGTCCAATCACAGCTGATCACATGTACATAGGGAAATGCCGGTTATCGGCATTTCTCTCCTCGCGAGCTGTCAATCGGTAAGCCGGTAATCGGCTTTACACAGAGGGGACACCTACACCGATCATCAGGGCACTGATGATCAGCCCCAGCAGTGCCACCTGTCAGCGTCCATCAGTGCCAGCTGTCAGTGCTCATCAATGCCACCTGCCAGTGCCCATCAGAGCCACATCTATGCCACATATCAATTCCTACCAGTGCACATCAATGCCACATATCAGTGCCCATCTGAGCTGCCTTTCAGTATTACTGATCAGTGCCACCTATCAATGCCAGTCAGTGCTACCTATCAGTGCCACCAATCAGAGCCAGTCAGTGTGCATATCAGTGCCAGTCAGTGCCACCTAACAGTGCCAGTCAGTGCTGCCTATCAATGCCACCTATCGGTGCCACCTATCAGTGCCATTTGAGTGCTGCCTTTCAGTGCCCATCAGTGATGCCTGTCAATGCCCATCAGTGCCACCTACCAGTGCCTCCTCATCAGTGCCCATCAGGGCCACCTATCAGTGTCCATCAGTGCAGCCTATCAGTGCCCATCACTGCAGCCTCATTAGCGCACATCAGTGAAGGAGAAAAATCCTTTATTTACAAATTTTTAACAAAAACTAAGAAAAAAACGTTTTTTTCAAAATTTTCAGTGGCTTTTGGGTTGTTTAGCAAAAAATAAAAAAACACAGAGGTGAATATATACCACCAAAAGAAATCTCTATCTGTCTCAAAAAAATGATAAAAATTTCATATGGATACAGTGTTGCATGACCACGCAATTGTCATTCAAAGTGCCACAGCGCTGAAAGCTGAAAATTTACCTGGGCAGGAAGAGGTATAAGTGCCCTGTAGGTGAGGGGTTAAATGTTGTATTGTATGTACCTGCATTTAGATTGGCACCAGCCAATTGCAAGGGGACAGCCAGTTCATGTGCTGACAAGAAGCATGCTAATAGGAGGAAAAAGCAAAATGATAGGGAGATGAGCTCATCACTGAGCAGCCTCTGCTTTCATTTTCCAATCAAAGGCTGGGGCAAGTCAAGGAGGAGTTGAGAATGATCCATGAAACACCCTTTAGATGTCACAAAATCAGGGAGGTAAAGTCCCTTGTGTGCTAAAGAAGAGAACATCATAATGGTTTCAGACTTGACAGAATGGCAACCTCGGCAAGGTATGGCTGGCTGTAAAACTCCTGAGTGGCATATGAGGAGGTAGAGCAAGCTCCTGTTATGAATGTGGAGTAGAGATGTTCCTGTGAGCTATACCATCCATGGAAAGAAATGAGTAGAGAATAGTGCCAGCAAGCAGAGGAGGTAGAACAGTGGAACTGCATTCTCATAAAGTATATTGGCACTGTTTATTTGCTGCTCACACCATCTTCTGAGATCATGTAGTTCTTGGGCAGAACAAGTTATATTACACCAAAGACAGTAATATCTTCTGCAGGCTTGCCAATAAAACTGACCTTGTTATTTGTTCCACCATCAACCATATTGGATTTGAGGCCTATATTCCATCTAATCCCAATGTAAAGCCTAATTCCATCTTTCCTTTCACTTTAAATAGTTGGTTGGGCCACCTTGGCCCACATTTACTATTTGGAGTGAAGGGAAGATTGGGTTAGGTTTCAAGTGAACTAGTGAAGAGGTTCATATAAAGGAGATCTATGGTCACAGTGTACCCTTTCACTTTTTAACATAATCATTGTTAAGCAATACAAACAATGGCTGTAATTGACAATCCAGTACTTGGTAAATCTCCTTTCAATTTGTGTGTTCTGTCTGTTTGCTGGCCATTTATCTCAACAACTTGCCAGATTCCTGCATACTTTGCAGCTTCTTCTCTGCTATTTACTTTCGATTTTTAAGGACAACCTATCCCATGGTACCTCACCGCCTGCAAACCAGGATTCCTGTGCTGACTTCACCTCCTGAAACTCCTCATCTCAGCACCTATGTAGTTCAGAAGGCACGCATAGTGAAAGCCTCTCGGGGAATCAGGAAGGAATTTTTTCCCCCCACTGGAGCACTTTACTGGGGGTGTTTTGCCTTCCTCTGGATCAACCGTGAATAATGGATAGTGTGTAGTGTGTGTGTGTTTTTTGTGTGCTTTTTTTTTTCCTCGGTTGGTTGAACTGGATGGACTTTTTTCAACCTGATTAACTATGTAACTATGTGTCACAGAATTCAAAGAAGTAAATGTATGGGGTGCTTCTCTGTAGGGTGCAAAACAAACCTCCTCAATCAACCCTTGTAGGATGTTTGCTTTTCACTGAAGCACAGGTTCCCTCTCATCAGTATGAGCTGGAGTTTATGGAAACCTGCTTATTATTTTTTTTTCTTCTCAATAGTGTTTAATTTTTTTTTTGTTAGCCAATACAAGAATCTGCACATAGATAAATGTGGACATAGCCACCATAACTATGCTATGACATTAATTACATCTGATGTACATTATACAATACAGCGAGTCATTATGACATATGTGTTCTTTTCTCCATGTTCTATCCTAAGGCAATAAAGCAATAGTACAAGGTATTACTCAAGCAAAAAAAATAGCTAAGGTAGCATTATGTACAAGATAGTCTGGGATGTAATTACAGTCGTAAAGAGGAGACCTATCAAGTGCAATATTAATAGGCATAAATCAGGCTTAATACCAATTATACCATTATATTCTCAAAGGCAGGCAATGTGTCAGATTGTACAGCAAGTAATCTTTCATATGAGTATTGTTGGTATGTTGTAGTATGCATAGCTTCTGACAGATTAGGAGCTAGCCCTTTTTTTCCAGTTTCTTGTGATGGTAGGAAGAATGCCTGAGATATCTGACAAACTTTGGAATATTTTCCTCCAGAAACTGCAAATACTCCTACGAGACCACAATATGTGAAACCAGTTACCCGTCGAGCCACATCCACTACAGCAGGGTTTCTCAACCAGGGTTCTGTGGAACCCTAGGGTTCCTCCAGAGGTTGCCAGGGGTTCCTTGAGCAATGAGTAATTTTTGCCTCTCAGGTAAGTTTCCACTGACACCATTGATCTTTTAGCTATCTGTAAGGGGGTAATTCTTTCCAATGACCACACGTGTAAGGAGCATTCTTACCTCTGACTATCACTAATGTATCATGAATTGTAGCTAAAGTCCTTTTTAGCAGGGGTTACCTGAGACCGGAAAGTTATGTCAAGGGTTCCCCTGCGTTGAAAAGTTTGAGAGAGGCTGCACTACAGCAGAAGGGGGAGCAATCAGGATATGACATAGCCAACAGATAAGGTGTAAGGTACCATCTTGTGTTGATTTTCAAAGCCAGAAACCTTCTTATTTTAACACATACAGGACAAGAATCCCTGAGATGTTACTGTCCTTATAACAAAGGACTACACTTCCGTACCAGGTTCTACCCTAATAAAGAACTACAACAATTTCTAATTAGAGCACTGACATCAGTCTTACCCCAGAATTGCCTGTGCTGATATACATAAGTGGGATCTCTATTGGATCCTCCTCATATTGGTGGTCATAAATCATCGGTAACCTGCAGTCAATAAAATACAGTCTTTCTATGTCAAGGGCATATCAAGCACTCAAAAGGAAGAGGTTAGTGGTTTGATGGAAATAGTCTTGGCAAAGCACAGGTTCGCTAGTTCACCCAGACGTATTTTCTCTGTGAAAGGTGTATGTTCAGATCTGATTACCAGGTAGGCACTGATGTGTGGTAGAAAGACAACTGCTTTATAAACAATTCACAGCAGGAAACCGACAGCATGCACAAGGTGGAGAACCAACAGCTTCAACAAGCTCTCAAACATATCCCCACTGAAGAGAGTGCACATTTTGGATGGTTCAAATGAGGTGTAAAGGAGGACATTTAATTCATATTAGAACAACCTTCTCTAATAACTTATTCTAATATCTTTCTCATTCTATAAACATTGAAGTAGAGCTTCAGATCCAGGTTTTGTTGCTGAGACATCTTACATAGACATGATATGAAGGTGTGATATAGGTTAACCTTTTAAATCCCCTGTCACCCATATTGGTATTGTATGTCTAATAAAGCAAGTCACTGATCAGGGGGTTACTGAATAAATGCAGGGAAGAGGAAGCCACATGGTCAATGGGGTATTGCTGCTGGTTACTCGTGTTTGGAGGTCAACCAGTATGTCCAATTATCACTAGAACCCCAAGTTTCTCCCAATGCAAACAATGGTAGCAGAAATAAACAATACAACGTGCACTTCTAATATGTATTCTGCTAACATCAAGAAATTACAGGCTTGTAGGAAACCTTTATCCTGGCACCTTTGGTCAGTACACTCAGCTCTGAAGTAGACCTGGCACACAGGATTCATGCACACTGCTCTCACTATCAGTGACAGGCTAGCCAAACAAGGCAATATTACTTCTATGGTTTGTGCAAACACCCTCTCACAGTCTCTTAGCACCAACCACCAAAAGAGGAGACTCACCCAAAATCTAGCTGGCAGGACACATGCAGGCAAATGCAAATGTTGCATCCAATCTGATGTAATCTGATGGTTGTGTGGTAGGTAACCTCTAGCTGGGTGATTTCCTCATTCCTCGGATGGGTGTTTGGTAGCTTAAGTCATTTTCTCATTCCTCTGAGATGCCCTCCAGCTATTCTGTGAACTAGAATCACACACAAACAACACACACACACACACAAACACACTGATGTTGATCTAGTAAAACTGGAGAGAGCAATATCTGGTTTGGGTGTGCATGGTAGCCAATCAGGTTCCAGTTTTTTGTCAAAGCTTAATTGAGCAAGTTAAAGTAAGATGCTGATTGACTACCATGGACAGCTGCACCAGTTTTTGCACTCTCCAGTTTTAGTAAATCAACCTCACGGTCTGACAATGAGATCTTTCATTGCCTAGGATAACTTCCACACACTGCTACTAATCTGTATGCAATCCAAAAAGCTATCTTGTTCTCTGTCAACCAACTGCTGCAATACAGAGAACACGGGAGTACATCCACCCAATGCAATCTGACACAAATTTCCAACTGAGCTGATGGTACAACCAGGGCTGCTGTTAAAAACCATGGGGCCCCATACAGCCAACCTGACAGGTTCCTCCCCCATACACACAGTTTACTATGCTTCAATTATGAATAAACACTGATTGGTATCAATCACTCATTGTGTTCATTTACGAAAGGAAGGGCTGGTAAATGTGACACATTTAACAAACCCCCCCCCCCCGCTTTCCATCCTGAAGGATCCTATTGTGTGCTTGCAAGTGCTGCTGAGAAAGAGAGGAGGGAAGCCGGAAGCAATTCAGGGGTGGGGGCACACAGGGGGGCCTGGGCAGCAGAGGGAAATGTATGGTGCACAGGGAGGATGAGGGGTGCGGTGGGGGTGCAATTGCTGGAACCGATCCCCTGTATGG